AAACTAGCATTTGTCTGGCTCAATTGTACAGCCAGGCTACTTTATGAGGCAAAAATTTCTTGCAAAATAGTAGTAATATGTGTGCAGATGGGCACAAACCTCAGTTCGGAGGTTCGTGCTGGTTTGTGGGCTCAGCACCACAGGTGCCACACATTCCCTCCCTCCCTGACCTAGTCACCAGCCAGTGTGCACTGCCTGTCGCACAACTGTCCAGTTTCAGCAGGCGTGCCTGCTTCCCTTCACTGCCTCCCCTGGCAGTTGCCCACTCAAAGGCAGCATTGCCTGAGGAGGCAGAGAAGGAAAGTGTGTGCTCCTGCTGCAACTGGACAGTGATGCAAAGAGGAGGCGAGTAGGGGAGCCAGCCAGGGTGTGGGGGAAAAAGGGAATGCGCAGCACCTGTGGTGACACATTAAGAAACCAGCACGACCCTTCAAACTGAGTGAGAAGAGATTTCCCATTCCCTTCTTCCAGGGTTGTCATGGGTCCATGCAGCTTGCCCAAAGCTACACAGGCTGGCTGTTCTCCAAGAAGACACAGTGGGGAATTGAACTGTTGACTTCTGGCTCCTCGGCCAGGTACCTAACTCACTGAGCTACCTGGCCAGCCTCTTGTGTAGAGATGCAACCCTCTGTACAATGTGAAACTGGGTGGTGGCAAGAAGGATGTAACAACCCTAGACCAGAAAAATACATTTCTAGCATTAGGGTTGGGCATGCACCTTTTTCATTCTGTTCTCCATCTTAGCAAAGCAAAGCAAACACAAGAGGACTACTTGGTTCCTTTTTTTTAAAGGAGGACAATCTTTATTTCTCCCTAGAAGCTTCTTTGCCTGTCTTATCACATTTCCACCGCAATCAGTTCCAGCCACTGCAGTTGACAAAACCAAGGGTGATGAGTGTTCAGGGGAAGATGAAACTCTCGCACAATTCACAAGCTTTCCAATGGTGCACAGGGTTTACTGATCAGGTTTTGCTTAAGGCAGAAGTTAATTCTCAAGATCTCCCTTGGCCCAGCAGTTTGCTGTGCTCTCCTGGAGTCCTCTTCATTAGCACTGGCTTCTCTTGAGGGCGCTTCCGAGGACGCTGAAATCTGCTCGCAGGACGTTGGAAGGGGCACGGGTTTGCTGGAAGGGCTGCTGCCCGCCGGCAAACAGGGTGAAAGAGCCGGGCTCCAGGCGCCACTCCCCGGCCCAGACGGCTCTCTGGCGGAAGGAGAGCAGGAAGGGCACCTTGGTCGCCTGGCCTTGGGGTACCATCACCCGACGGAAGCCGACCAGCTGCCAGCGGGGCACGGGCACGGAGGCCTCTCCCCACCGGAGGTAGAGCTGCACCACCTGCAGGGGGAAAAGAGCTCTTAAAGAGGGAACAAGGAAGAAAACGAGACCCTTCCTTCCTGGAAGGCCCCACGGATCTCCCCACACCCAGAGAGGGGGAGTGGTCTCGAAAACGCCAGAAGGACACGTCCATGGGAACCTCATCTCAATCCAATCCAAGGACACCCAAACTACTCCCTGTGGTGCTCCTTGCCTACCCATCCCCCATCATTTAAATCTTGTTTATGTTTATGATACAGAAAGCATCATCCTTCCTCAGCCACCGAGGTCCAGGAGCAGGCCAGCCCTCTCACCTCCTCGCCGTCTCGGGGGCCAACGTTCTCCACCACCACCGAGAGGCTGAGGTTCCCACAAACGGGCACCACCTCGGCTCCCAGCACCAGGTCGCTGTATCGGAAAAGGGTGTAGGAGAGCCCGTAGCCAAAGGGGTACAGCGGAGGATCGTCTCCATAGTAGCGGTACGTCCGTCCCGCCATGGTGTAGTTCTCCATTGGGGGGACCTGTGGGGACGGAGACCGAGAGACGAAGTTCAGGAGAGAAGGACTGCCGGGCCTAGTGAACGAAGA